GCTCCCCGCTGCAGGAGGGGGCTAGCACCCAGTCTGCAGCCCACCTGCAAGATGGTCACAGATCTAGACGCAAGGAGCCCGTATACTTGAAAATAACCAACATACCCGCTCCAGGCCTTTGTGACTTTTTCCAAAGAAATTTCAGGAGACGCTCCCCACCCCACCCCACCCCACCACACCAATGGGAAACTCAAACATCAGGTGCGATAGCAAGTGTTGTGCATTCAAGGGAAATCGTCCCTCCTGTAGACAGCCAAGGGGCGGGGAATGGAAATCGAGCCTCTCTCCGAAAGCGGCGCTGATGTTAATCCTCACGGCTTGAAATAGGCAGGAATTACAATTGCATTACACAGACTCACTCCATAAGGTGTCCGTTCTCTCTCTGCTCAAGTCCCTGCCACACCGGCTTTACTAGTCTCTAAATATCCTGGGTTGGCTAGCTTGACTTTTTCAAGTACATAATAAGATTTTGGAGAATTTGCGCTCACTCTTGTACAAATCATAACAGTAATTAATTTTATTTTAATATAGTTTCAAGATAAATGTAGACAGCAAATCTCTCTCATTATGCTGATTTTACATCATTAAAAGGAAAAATCCATTAAGGGTTTTCTTTGCACTCAGAGATCTTCATAAATGTCTAACTTCTGGTCTTTCACCAACTGTAATCTATCTCATCTGGCTTTGTGGCTGTCTGATTAATCTTTCATTATTAACGAGTTAAGTGCAACCTAACTCCTAAAAACCAACCCACTCCCCGGGCAAAAACCACTAAACAAAAGATCAACATAAAAATCACCACTGGGAAACTGGTAGGCTGATTGGTCGTTCCAGCATACTTTGAGGTTGAGCCAATCAGATAGCATCTTTTTAGTGCATTCAGAGCTAGGACATTTTCTGATCTGTTTAAAATTGCACATTAATGTAATCGCTAGCACAACTCTACCCCTTTCAAATCTCTACTGTTGGCAGGGTGAATTCTTTTGAATTGACATTCAGTTCCTGGACACAGACAAACCACCTCCTTCCTTAAGGCAGGAGGCGCTTTAAAAGAGGCAGGAACATGTAAAGCCAACTGATGCATGTGCACAGACCAGGACGTAAATGCTTCACATCTGTTTTGCTTTCCGAATGTTTCGGTGTTTCACCTGGACCTTGAATTTTACAATCTGTTTAATATAACTGGCACGCCTTCTCAGTTGTCAATGGGTAGCTGTTAATCTGCACTGTATACTCAAGGCCTGTCATTTTCAGTTTTTAATTGGTTTAAATTTGCCAGAAATTCATGAGTGTTTATAACAAAAAAGGTGAAAAAGAATAAATATCCAGGTTAATATTTTGGGGCAGGAGGACAAAAAAAAGCAACATATGGAGAAAAGAGTATTGAAAACAAAAGCAGTTTTATGCTGTGGTTTTATTTCATAAACTGTTAAAACTGTGCACACATAACAGACGTACCCATGTGTATCTTCTGCTACATTGCATTACGTTAACAGACAACCTCATATTTACACTTAGTCTAACTCTGTACCATAAACACATCTACCTAATGAAAGGTACTAGATTTGCCTAACATATTTGAGGTTTTCACCTTCTCGAGCGCTCCCAAAATGTAGGTGAAATAAATCAGCAAAACAAAACTAATAGTTTTTATAAAACCCAAGAATTTTTCAGTAAAAATCTGTGGAAGCTGACAACAAAGAGCCTTCGACATGACAATGTGTTAAACTACTTCAATAGGCAGAGAGAACTTTTAAAAGCCTGACATTAAATCAGAATTATACCAGATGCATTCCTTTACTGGAACCAATACTTCTGTGTCCTTGATTGAATCTTTGCAAAACAGGTAACCAACATGTTTAATTTCAGAGTGTTACTTGTTCATTTTGTTATCGCTTTTGTAACATTTTCTGAATCTGCAAGGTAAGTTTTAGCGCTTCAGAATTTACCTGATTTGTTGACTCCCACTTTGTGATCATTTCCGATTCCACTGTCTTACTAAGCATTTGTGTGCTATAGCAGAACCTAACAAACAAATGTTAATAAATGCAAAGTAATGCATACAGGAAAACTTAATCCCAACTCTACGTATAAAATGATGGGGACTGAATTAGCTGTTACCACTCAGGAGAGAGATCTTGGAATCTTTGTGGATAGTTCTCTGAAAACATCCACTCAGTGTGCAGCAGCAGACAAAAAGCAAACAGAATGTTAGGAATATTTTAAAAAAGGATAGAGAATAAGACAGAGGACATCTTATTGCAACAGCATAAATCCATGGTGCACCCACATCTTCAATATTGCCTACAGATGTGGTTGCTTCATCTCAAAAAAGATACCTTGGCCCTAGAAAAAGTTCAGAAAAAGGCACCAAAAATGATTAGAGATATGGAACAGCTGCCATATGAGGAGAGATTAGTAAACCTGGGACTTTTCAGCTTGGAAAAGAGATGACTAGAAAGGGAGGTGATAGAGGACTATAAAATCATGCCTGGTATGGAAAAAGTAAATAAGGAACAGTTTAACACAAGAACTAGGAGTCACCAAATGAAATTAATAGGTAGCAAGTTTAAAACAAACAAAAGGAAGTTTTTCTTCACACAACACACAGTCAACCTGTGGAACTCCTTGCCAGAGGATATTGTGAAAGCCAGAACTTTAACAGTGTTCAAAAAAGAGCTTGTGGAGGTTGGGTCCATCAATGCCTATTAGCTAAGATGGGCAGGGATGGTGTCCGTAGCCTCTGTCAGAAGCTGGGAATGGGCGACAGGAGGTGGATCACAGTGATTATCTGTTCTGTTCATTCCCTTGAGGGGACCTGGCATTGGCCACTGTTGGCAGACAAGATGCTGAGCTAGATGGACCTTTGATCTGACCCAATCTGGCCGTTCTTCTGCTCCTATTAAAGTGCAGTACACTCAGGCTACGTCGACACTGCAGGCTTTTTGCACAAGAACTGTTTTGCGCAAGAGTTCTTGCACAAAAGCGCGTCCACACTGCCACGTACTTTTGCGCAAGAATGTCCATGGCGGTGTGGACGCTCTCTTGCGCAAGAAACCCGTTGCCCGTCCACACTGCCTTCTTGGGCAAGAGGGCTTATTCCCCGTGGGGAGAGGAATAGCTCTTGCACAAGAAGCCCTCTGTTCCGACGCTTTACTGTAAATTTACTTGCACAAGAACGCGCGTGCAGCTTAGATGCTCTGCAAGTTTTTGCGTGAGAACCCTTCAGTGTAGATGTAGCCTCAGTATAAAAGTCTGAGAAAATTTCAGGCACACAGAGAAAAGCATCTATGCACTGCATAAACATGGGAGAGCTGGCAAGCTTCTCACGCAGGGCCCGTGTCTTGTTTGCCTGGAAAGCACTATGCCGTCTCTGGTGCAGTACTAACGCTAACGGAGAAATCCCCTCGGGTACGTGTAAGGCCCTTTGGTTTTGGTTTTTATTTTGTTTTGGGAATTTATCAGTCCGCATAAACAAATTAAACAGCTGAAAATCAGTGAAAGAAGAAAATGAAGGGCCAGAGGGCAAGGGGATTCTTCTGTTCCCCCCAGGCCTGGCTCTGCAGCGGTCGGCATTTTTGGCTGCCAGGACCTGGCTGCTTGCCCATCTTGCTCCCCCGCAGCACATGGGGCCATGCTGAAAGCCTGGGCCGGAGGGGACCCTGTCCAGTACAGAGAGCAGACAGGGGCTGTTCCCTGGCTCCCTTCCCATCTCTGGGGCAGTGAGAGCAGCAGGGATCTGTGTAGGGTAGTGAGGCAGGCAGGCAGGCAGCCCCTCTCAGCTTCCGGGACTCAGCTCCCTGCCAGTCTTACTCTCTCTCTGAACAGCAGCAGCCAGGAGACGGCAGTGACTCTCCTTTGTGCAGCTCCGTGGGGACTCGGTGAGGGGGGGAGTTCCAATGCTGGCAAAATGGGGGTTAAACCTGGGCTTTTTCAGAACCCGGGAAGTTGTCAGGAAACGTTGGTAAAAACCAGACCCAGGGGGTGGTATTTAGACCTGAAAAGAGTAAGTGCATTGAGCTGTGGCATAACGCTCTATGCTCAGAGATCTCAGCCCACTGAAAGTGGGGCACACTTCTCCTCCTCTTGGCTCTAGTTCCCTCTCTGTCGAGCGGTGAGGAGTGACTTTTAAACTGTGCATACAACATGAACGTTTAGTGGTCCAAGCCCGAATTTTATTATTTTCCCTTCAATTACATCTGCTTTCAATAAATACCCAACTCCCAAGGAATACATCATGCCAAGTCGCAGGTCAGCAACAGAGAAATTATAACCAAAAAGTGTACTGATCTCACACTGAAAAAAGCTGCACACTGGACCACTGGAGGAGACATTTTGCAACATTTACACTACGCAGAGATTTCAAACAGTGATCAAGTAAACCGAAAAAGGATTTTTGTACAGAGGAATTTCATATAAGTATAGACTCATTCACATGATAGGCAATCCATGGAATATGCTTTCCTTCACCATTGTGGAAACAACTTAAGTTTCTGAAATTAACCAGTCTGCGCCAAAAGATCACAAACTGATTTACCATTTCCCCCCTTGTTTTCCTGTAATAAAGTGGTTTTAAGTAAAAAGAAGTCCCAATGCTCAAGCTGTTAAGATTATCCTGTGATGTTTAATTTTAAGCACCACGGTATGAAAAACTACACAATGGTGTTTAGTTTTATTTTTGATTATCAAAGTGTTAGGGGTTTCCTGTTCCAGTTCTAGAATTGCTCTGTGCCAATCACAATGAGAAATGTGTTTACATACGGACTCCTCCTTGCTCTCAATTACCAGTAATTCAAATCATTCGCCTCTTTCAGAGGGCAGACTACAAGCCTGTGTCGATTTCTTATCCTACCCTTGGGGGTAATTGTACAATGAGCTGTTCCAACATCCTTTTCCAGGGCAGCATTCGCGCATTCAGCACCATTTGTCAAATCTAGCTGGGCTACTACACTAGTATTAAAAACAATGCGGGAAAAACAGAAAAGGAGCTTTAAAAAAAGTACTGGACGGTCTGTGAAATTGTATTTAGACCATTTTCTTAAATCTGTCCCATTGACAATTTAACAGCAAGAGTAGCTAAGTTGAGATATGTAAAAAAGACTACGTTCTTTTAAGGGAGGCTGATGTTAGACAATTTATAACTGGTAGGCAAGTTAACAGAAGAAACAAGTAAAAGCGAGCGAGGACAATGCTATGCGATACCTCAAGAAATTGATGAATATTGGTTCAATACACCACACTCTTGTATGTCAATTACATCCTCTTTCTGGGCAATATGACAGACTGAAGGAAATGAACACCACCGAACATTTAGACCACACTACACTACACAAGGCAAGTGGCTCTGAAGGTACTTTACGTGTTACATCACTTTAAAGCAATTTGGGCCTTAAAAATTCTCAGTAAAAAGAAAATATTAAAAAATGTGTTTTTTTCTGAAATATTTATTTGAGAGGGTCAGACAAACTGAGTTACACTGTTGAATTATTTTTCTGTCTTACCCACACACAATCAGCTCACTTTCCAACGGGACATGGGGAAAGTTAACAGGAAACCCAGTTAGTGTCCATGCAACCCCTCGAAATGAAATGTTATTGGCTGTGGGTCAGCGTATCACCATCTAGGAGGAAAGCATCCATCAAATGAGCAGCTGTTGACATTATTTCCTGAGCCAAATTTTTTAAGGAGTCAATGAATGGCAGATCGTGCTTTTCAAGTGAAAGGAGCTAGAAGAATTCCTTGGATGATAATAGCTCTGAAATGCTTAAGCAAAGTCCACAACTTTCTCTCTCAGATCTCCGCTCTCACCACAATGAATTTAAACGTTGTGTACGCTAGTGACTGAGGATGCTTCAACATAACATATACAGGTACAAACAATATTAGTTAGCAGGGCATTAATTCATGTATGTACAGATGATAAATCTTTATTTCAAACTCCCAGGATTATTTGCAGGCAAGAAACTAACACTGCCATACTCGACTGCTGCCAACAAATAAAAACCTCTCCTTGCTCTGAGAAACCAAACTGAATTGAACTTTGGCAGTCTCTCATCTTGCCATTTCATCCCAACAAAACCTGGATTCTGCTGTCATGTTTGCTTGCTTCAAAAATTCTAATGGCAGGTTTCATTCAATTCTTCTCAATCTCATGTGAGAACAACTTCCCTCACCCCCTTGGCATCCAGGTGCTTCCAAAAGATACGTCAGAAAGAAGAATGGGACAGAAAAGCCATTTCATTCAGTTGTCTTTGTGCAATGCATTTTGGGAAAGGACTGCATTCTCATGGTAAACGTTCCGCTGAAATATAAAAAGGCAACAAATGTAATTAAAACAGGCGCAATCATATTCTATATGAGTCGAGAATTAACACAAGAACTAGGTGACAGACACGAAAGAAGTCTGAAAAGGACAGTCAGGTCTGAGTGCTGACAAAAATAATTTTCACGTACACTAGCACTTTTCAGACACAGAACTCAAAATCCTTTACAAAACAGGTATCACCACATGTTACTGACAATGAGCTGTAACTGATCTCACATTTCAATGCTGACAAATTGTGCACTCAACGTGCATCGTAGAGCAGTTTCACAAGACCTGAATAACGACCCTAGAGAATGGAGCTGTGATACTTTTTTTGGACCAACTTCTGCACATGAGACAGACAAGCTTCTGACACACACACAACTCTCCTTCAGGTCTGGGAAAGAAACTCACAGTGTCCACCTAAAAACTCTCTGACTCCACCTACTATAAAGAACTCAGAAGTGACCTCCCAACCATAGTTTAATCAGGAACTTATGGTATCATCCAATCCTCCCTCAAACACCTCTTGGACAAACTCTACAGACTCATTTCCCACACATCCAGCCCCGGGGCCTTCTACATGCTTCGCAAGCCAAACAATCAAGAGGACCCAGGTTGAACTATCATGTCTGGCCATGGCACTCATTGAAGGGACACTGGGATTCATGCAAACCACTCAGCACACAAAGGACCAGCTTTCTCCAAGGTGTGTGTGTTCGTGCATCGAGGTCGATGAGGACCACCCAGTGTCATCAGTTTAGTTGGGGGTGGGTTCAGAGATGGCTGATTAGTCCAATCCGAGCCCGAAATTGACGGTTACAGTGGGGACATGAAAGATCGGACTGCCGACCGGAGGAAGAGAAGATACCTGTCCTGGACTTGCGAAGAAGACGTTTCTCTGCAGCATAACGCAGTCTCTTTTGTTCGTGGGCTATTGCACCATCATATATTCGTCTGTGCCAGGCGGAACGATCATCAGCAATACTCTCCCAATTTCCAGGATCCATGTTACAGTTCTTAAGGGAGGCCTTAAGGGTGTCTTTGAATCTCTTCTTTTGACCTCTAAGAGATCGCTTGCCGTGTTCTAATTCACCATAGAGCATCTTCTTGGGCAATCGATCATCAGACATGCGCACAACATGGCCAGTCCATCTGAGTTGTGCCTTGCAAAGCATGGTGTGAATGCTTGTCATATTAGCCTGTAGAAGAACATCAGTATCTGGAACTTTGTACTGCCATCTTATCTGCAAGCCAAACAATCAAGAGGACCCAGGTTGAACTATCATGTCTGGCCATGGCACTCATTGAAGAGACACTGGGATTCATGCAAACCACTCAGCACACAAAGGACCAGCTTTCTCCAAGGTGTGTGTGTTCGTCCATCGAGGTCGATGAGGACCACCCAGTGTCATCAGTTTAGTTGGGGGTGGGTTCAGAGATGGCTGATTAGTCCAATCCGAGCCCGAAATTGACGGTTACAGTGGGGACATGAAAGATCGGACTGCCGACCGGAGGAAGAGAAGATACCTGTCCTGGACTTGCGAAGAAGACGTTTCTCTGCAGCATAACGCAGTCTCTTTTGTTCGTGGGCTATTGCACCATCATATATTCGTCTGTGCCAGGCGGAACGATCATCAGCAATACTCTCCCAATTTCCAGGATCCATGTTACAGTTCTTAAGGGAGGCCTTAAGGGTGTCTTTGAATCTCTTCTTTTGACCTCTAAGAGATCGCTTGCCGTGTTCTAATTCACCATAGAGCATCTTCTTGGGCAATCGATCATCAGACATGCGCACAACATGGCCAGTCCATCTGAGTTGTGCCTTGCAAAGCATGGTGTGAATGCTTGTCATATTAGCCTGTAGAAGAACATCAGTATCTGGAACTTTGTACTGCCATCTTATCTGCAGCAGTTTCCGTAGACAGTTCAGGTGGAAGTGATTCAGCTTTTTCGCATGCCGACTATATACAGTCCAGGTCTCACAAGCATAGAGGAGGGTGGGCAAGACGACCGCCGAGTAGACTTTTAGCTTGGTCTCAGTCTTAATGCCTCTTCGATTCCAAACATTAGGTTGAAGTCTTTCAAAAGCTGCACTGGCTCTGGCGATTCTCCAGTGAACTCCTTGACAAACACCACACCATAAACAGTCTCCTTTGGCACACCATCCTCACCACCAGGGGTGTCACTGCCCTACACACCAACAACCCTCAGACTGACATCACTACACACCTCCAATATTGACAAGACAATGGACAGTCCCCAGATCTTCACCCCAAACACCATACCATGATCATCCTCACCGATAACAATTTTACATTCAGTAACAAACTTTGTCCAGAGCCCGGGTACCAGGGTGATTCTCAAAATGCTAGACTCTTCATAGGCCACCCTGAAGAAGAATTTCTGAACAAATGTACCATGAAACCAAATGATATAGCTGAGATGCCTCAATATCTCATCTTCTAAGCAGACTGCTTAAACTCCTTCATAGATTCCCACAACCTCAACCACCATCACTCATCCATCAGGCTCTCTCCAATGTTCCCGCTCCAGCATTGACTTCTGGGACATCACAGTCAGCTTCCACAATGGAAACCACAGACAACCCATGGCTCCCCATAGCTACCTTCAGAGATCCAGTAAGCACCAGAACTCACCAAGAAATTTGTAATCTACAGCCAGGCACTCAGATTCCCTTGAGAGCATATTCTGTGGTAAGTCCAGGATGAACATCTGAACATGCTCAAAACTGCTTTCACCAAAAACGGACATGCCACACACAAGCTTACATCATGGACTGAGCCATCCAAATACCCCAAGAGACTCTCCTTTAATACATAAACAAACCCCTCTCCAATCTCACACCCCAGCTGTCACCTACCACCTCACACTGGAACCCACGAGGGGTGCTATCAAACCACCACAACTTGAGCTTGATGTGGACCTGAGCCTGAAAAAAAATCTTTCCTGAACCTCCACATCTGGCCTTCAAACAACCCTGCCCAAACTCATCATCCGAAGCAAGCTCTTCGCAGAACAGGATGCACCAAAACAGAACAGCACCAGACCCTACCAGAACAACAGATGCAAACCCTGCAGCCAGATCTCAACTGCCACCATGCTCAACACCCCCCCACAGCGCATCTAAGTTCCGGGTACACACACATGCCTATCACAACACGTGGCGTACCTCATACAGTGCACTACGTCCCGAGTAACAACGATGTGGGCGAAACCAGACAATCCCTGTGCTCTCAAACAAACTCGCAAAGGTAAATGAGAAGAGTCAAAAACACCGTCACCATGGGTGAACACTCTCCACAAAACGATCACTCTGTCAGACCTCTCAGTCCTCTGCCTCCCAGGAAACCTGCAGAACACTTCCAAGCCACAAGCCTGGGAGTTTCAATTAATAACTCTGCAAGACACGGAAATCATGGACCAAACAGACCCTGCATTCCTGGCTCTTTGCAGCAATCTGCAACCCACCAGCCTCTTGTTTTGTCCCAGGGCTGCAGAGGTACCTTGAACTGCTTGTTACTATATAGCGAACTCCTTCTGCTAAGCAATCTGCTCCACCTTCAATTCAGCTGCCACATCATGTGTTTGCTTCCCAGACCTGAGACAGCTCTGTGTGGCTTGAAAGTACACCTCTGTCACCAACAGAAGCTGGTCCAATAAAAGTTATTTTATCCCCTTCCTCGCCTTGTGTCTCTAACCTGGAGAAAGTGTTTACACTACACTTCATGTTCTCTTGCAGTCAAAGGTGAATCCTGACACTGACCATTGGAAAGAGGCCAGGGAAAGCTGTAAAATAACATGGATATTCTGGAAGCAATTCCTTCAGCAGCGTGTGGGAGGGGCTGCTGGGTGTGGAGATGGTGAGAACGTGATACCTGCTTGATCAATCTACTTCTCCTGATGGAGGGCTTCAATGAAGACTTCAAGTTTTTCCTGGATTTCCCGAACTTTTTCTAGAAAGATGAAAAAGATTGCCATTCACATATCTAGCCATTTGACTGAGGATAGCTACATAGCCCCCCAACTATAAATCAGAACGAAATCCAAGTTTGGAAGCAAGCATTATCTTAGATGTGTGATGCATTGAATGCCTTTGTGTGCAGTTTCTGTATTAGACATTAATTAATACACAACCTCTTCAGGATGTTTTTTTTCTTTAAAGAACTTTTACAAGTATGCACCTTTTTTCCATAAATGCTAATTTAATAATTCCAAAATGCAGCAAAGCAATCTGACACTGAAATCACTGTGTTTTGAAAAGCTTAGATTTCCACGGATTCTCACACATCAAGTCTACAATGTGCCTGTTGTTACACGGTGGAAATTGTTGTCCATTAAGTGAAGTGCACTAATTTCTCTCTCTTTTAGCCAAATATTATTTGCCACGTTAGCAGCACAAACACCATTAATCATTCAAGAAACAGTTACAAGTTAGTGACCTGGTACTAGATAGAATTTCAAGTGATCAGAGCTCAGCATGCAACACGCTGGTACAAAAGACCTGTAGTGGCTGCAGTGAAGAACTCTACCTGAGTTGAATATTCAGTTAGTATTTAGTCTTGACCCTTGCATCTCAGCACTGCCCAAAAGGATGCAGTCAATTATATTCTGCACAACCTCTAAATCTGGAATCATTTTCCCCATCAGGAAAATCACTAACAGGGCAAAACTATATGCTGTTACTGACAATGAAATGTAAGGAAGAAACAACCCCCCCCCCCACCTTTATTTTCTCTACCCTCATTATGCACCTCTCCCCCACTAAAGATCTGGTACAACATGCCTTACTGTCTATGTATCTTAGAGCGCGTCTGCCTGAGTCCATTTGTTCAAGAACCCCCCTGAACAGTAAGAGCTAGGGCCATCACATTTGCTATGCAGTTTCTTCTCCTACCAAATCAAGGTCAGGGTTGGGTTGTGCCAGGACAACCGGAAGCCCCAGGAAAAGGACTGGTTTCCATAATGTGCTCAGGGAGGGGCAGCGAGCCATATCACATATCACTGGTGGCAGCGAGCCAGCAGGGTCCGCCAGGGACAGCCACACCACCACCGGCTGCCAGCAGAAAAGGTAAGTTGGGCCCCTCTGTCCAAGAAACAGCCCCTGTTGGAGCCCTCCACCCTGGTAGGGGCAATAGAGGAGGGAGAGAGCCTCCAACCCTGAGACAGGGGAGAGGAAGAGAGCCCCCGCCAGCCTCAAAGAGGTCAGGAGGGGAGGGGAGGGGGGGAAAGAGAGCCCTTGCAGCCCGCAGGGAGGAGCCGGTGGGAAAAGCGTGCAGTCCCTGCTGTCCAGTGAACACCCCCACCCTCTGCCCTGACTCCTACACCCCCCATCTCTTGCCCTGACACCCTTCTCTTCCCCCCCCCAGCCTCCTGCCCTGAGCTCCCCACAACCCCACGGCCCTGCCCTGACTCCTGCACCCCTCTGCACTGCCAGCCCCCTGCCCTGAAGGCCCCAAGCAATGCCAGGTAAATTGTCTAGTAGTATCTATACGTTAGGTGTAAACTGCAATGATTGACAGAACAGACTTTAAACCCGAATGGGATTTACAAGCCTCCATGCTTTTCCCTCCCTGCTTGAAGTTGCTTCTTGTAAAGCCGTGCTGAGACAGATACTCCTTTGTCAGTATGGGAAGGGAGGGCGGAAGTAGCTCGCTGCACTTCGAATAACCCTGACAAACCATTCAGTCTAATAAAAGGCAGAATGTGTGTGCACACGCTCACATCCAGTTTTGGCAAACTAAAAATATCAGCTGGGACAAGCCCAAGAGTCCCTTTCGGGAGGCTATAAGGGAAACACCTCGCTCTATTCTATTTGTAGGTTTCTTCATTTTCATGGCTACTTATTACATTTACAAAAGCCCAAGTACCCCCTAGTCGTCACCAAACAGGATACGCACACAGCTGGGAGGAAGCACCAAATGTGGTCACCAGGGGAGTGTTTGTAGGAGATTGCTAGGGGAAGCAGTAGTTTCATTGAACAATGGCACTATCTTCATGCTTTACACTAACGTGTTTCACAAGCAAGATTAATGTACTCTAATAAAGGAAAATTCGGCAGCTGAACCAGACTGTTAACATGATTTGGCTGGCCCTTGAAACAAACAGTGAAACAAGGCAGTCCTCCTTCTGTCAGGGTTTCCTGGTGCTTTGTTAACAGCCTGGCAGAAATGGAAATTTGACTCTTGTCCACAGCCAGGTGTGGACAGGCAGCTGGTGGGTAAGCTCTTCCATTGCTCTGTCTGTGATCTCTGGCTGGACTAACCTCTTGAGGGCCAGACACAGTGTTGTCTCCTTACCAAGTTGGTCCTGGGGATTGCAAGGAGCAAAGGAAGGATGTGTATGCCAGAGCAAACTTAAGGACAGTGTGTGCTGACTTGTGTTCATGGCTACCCTACACAGAGCTAAAACATCTACAAAGCACGTCACTGAAGACTTCAGGCGATATACAGAGTTCAGCCCGGTGGTGTCTGAATGCCTTCCAAAGCTAAGAATTAAATATTGACATGTCTGCTTTTCAACTGCAGCTTCCTCTCCATTCCCCCATCCTCATGTCCTGCCTTGGAAAGGACACCCGGGTTTGTTTGGTTAATCTGAGTGCATTCCTAGGCATCTCTCAGGAGTGGTGCTATCCAGGGCAGCCAGTCTTGGAGCTTGAAACAATCTTTCAGGTATCCCGGGGGTTAGCATTTCTACTCTTGCACATACAGAAGGTGACTTCCTGGCCCCATTAGAGTTAATGGCACAAGTCCTATGGACACCAGAAAAGCCCTGGTGCAAAAGAAGAAGTAGAGAGGGGTGTGTGTGTGCGTGCGCGTGAACGCGCGCGAGAGAGGGGACACAAGAGGTATCTTTAAAAGACTAATTTTGTATTATGTTTGAGAAATGCATCACAATTTTTTTGAACATTTTGAAACATACATTACTACCCAAAGCAAGAAATAATTCTGAATTAATTATTTCTGATTTGGATTGCTTTATTCCGCCCAACATTCTTTCCTCAAATATGATTTTTATATTGATCAAGCTATTAGTTCCATTGAAAGCAGACATTTAACAGCATTAAATGCAAATATTTTCCCTACTCAACCCTTGGTTAGTGAAGTGTTCCAGGGCTGGAAATTCACAGCATCAGCAAAACCATAATTTATGAGTTCACCCTTTAGGGAAAAAGGGGCTGTGCTGGCAATACCTACGTTAATTTTTCAATCAAGGCATGTTAAAGTAACTGGATAGCCAGTATTTATTCCCCGGACTGTAGTTGTCAGTTGTGTTTGCGCCTAGAGAACAGACATACTAAACTAAAGTTGTCTCTACAATATCATAAGCACTTTTATTCATTTTTATACCTACATGGAATTGAAGTGACTCCATAACTGTAATAATTACGAGGTCTTCAAGTAACTTAACACTCTGAAAAAAGATTCTTAAAAAAAACAGTCAAACAGCCTGCCCAGAAGCTGCAATACAGCCTCACTAAGCTTTGCACTCCTTGAAGGAACACAGCTTACCACACAAACAGATACGAATCAACAGGCAAAATGTATTTCAGTCTAAGGTGCACAATGCAATAGTGCTCTGTTTAGTTTGCTTTTCATTGCATCGTGGCAGAAAGCATATTTACACAACTGTGGCCAGTAAGACGGTCATTTTAAATCCTCAGAGATCCTTATTTTAATGAGCAGCAAGGTGCCGTGACTGAGTTGGTAAGTATGTCATTACTTCATATCATTTACATTCAAACGACAGGACAGTAAGGCTAACTGGCCAAACAGAAACATTATATATTAACTACCTGAAGCTGGCTTCTGGCTTGAGCATGCTTTGCTGCGAGAGAGATTAACACTGCCGCTTCCCCCAACACACCCCATTTTGGAGGGGTCCTGCTCCAGTTCTAGATCCAAGCTTCTTGGTTTGAGCCCATCTCTAATTAAGCAGGACAATGTCAATACATTTTATATTGCAAATTAATACTTTCCAAAAAAACCAAACGCCTCCATGGGTTTCAAACCATGACACCTCTTCACATGAATACGCATTAAGGAGATGGCTAAGACATACGAAGGATATTTATGTAGCAATATTGTAGTCATCTAAATACAAATAATTAATTTTTATCCTCTGACTACAAGATAAACTAAACCTGCTAACGAGCATTCCTGTTTCTAACACACTGAACTTTCTCCAGAGTGACTGCCCAATGCTCCAATGTCACATCAGGCTTCTAAGTGCTATACTGCTGCTATAATTTACTTCACATGTTTGTATTTAGACCATTGCTCACAACTCTAATCACGTCAAAACAGATTTTGGCGTTATGAATGCATGATTCTTACATTTCTATCACTGTTCAACAGGTGGGGTAAGTGAAACCAGTGCCGGAAAATGAGAAGAAACCCCTTGGTTCTAACTTTGGAACAATGACATGCACAGGCCTACAAGCAATGAATGCTCATTGTACTTTCCATTTACCCGATGTTTACCTAAAAGATGAGCTGTTCCATACATCAATTCATTATGTCTCCTGATCTGGTCATGAATATTCCCATAATCCTTTCCCAATATCCGATAAACCTCCACTGACACAGAATGAAGAAATTCTTTATTCAAACGGCTCAAGAGACCCATTCATGTTTGTTCCCTCTTTATCTCCACATGAAATGATACCGCTGCCCACTCATTTTCTTTTCATTAATCCTCTGATCCTGACTCTAAAAGGCTCAAACCCAGACTAATTGATCTGTAATTAGGATTTGAATACATAGTGAATACAGAAAGACCCAGCCTTAGATAAGGTTTACTTTTGCTGTTAACATCAATTTAAAAAGGAGAAAAAAGCTGCAAAATATTCAGTCCTATAAAGACAGTCTACTTACTGGTCCCAGCGTATAGCTACATTGTTAACAGGCCTCACCAGTACAAGCATGCAACTGAGTGCAAGAGCTGTGCTGTTAAA